CGCAGTAACAACTGATCGAAAGCAGGAACTTACAGACAGGTGAATATTTCCTCTTGTAAACATTGGAAGTTGAACGACGTTAGCATGGTTAGGCTACCAAGATGTCTCCTGTAATGACAAAGTTTGCGTCGAATATTCATGTCTCTTATTTTTTATTTATGTTTGATATGGTTTAACATAATTGCCTTTCAATAACATTACGTATTTAATTATACCAGAAATGAAAATTGCGGGTATGAATTTCACCTCAGGAGTCAGCAGTTTTGAGTTTGTCTCGTTCAGGTGTTCAATGAAATCTCAAGCGTTTGTTGTTGTTTTCATTAGTAATTATTAGTGTCTATTTCTGTGATTCAGCTTAGGCACAGATGTATGTACACAATGGTCAACCATAATTATATTAATGAATATAAAGCAACACAATTCTAATTTATATATCCATTTATTGCTTATCTGTTTTTGCAATATTATGTAATGTGTAATTCCTACAGGATTTATGACATTGATGATTGTTTGTTATATTAGCCATTTCATACTAATTAGGCCTAATTTATTGGTAGATTAGAGGCCTATGATCGCAATCAAAATTTCAAGAATGATCCAGTTTTTCTACCAGAGCCCCTTGATATTGGATGGCCAGTTGTTGGCTTTAAACAGATTCTTCCAGAACACCAGCACATTCTTCCCAAAATTACACGGGAACAGATAGAAGCATATTTTCTATATCGAATAACAGGTATACATTAAGATCAAATTACAACTCAGAGAATTGAAGGAATCTTCTATCCAGTATATAAAGAATGACAGTCAGGGTAAATCACCTTGATCAATACTTCCTAAAAGGTCAATATCATATTAATTAGATATTATTTTTAATTAGTTGACAGACAATGTACTGGAGATTTGAAAACATTGGTAAAGGGCCAAGACATGTTTGACTTCAACAAAGTTTTGGTTGCTCTATTTACATCCAGAATGATATTTACCTAACAGGAATTGTGGGTGCAGCAATGAAACAAAAAGTAAGTCAGTACTGAGTAGCATTCATCTATGCAAATTTTCTTAGCCTAATGCTTGTAGAGAGAAATAAATATTGATGAAAAGGGAGTCAAATATTATATTTATATAAGACTAGCACTATTCTACATATCATATACTTACTTCATCTGACATCATATTTATTTCTATGGGTTTATACATATTTAAATTTGCAAAATCTTCTTGATAGGTAACCTACAATTATAAAGTCAGGGTCTCAAGAGAAAGTGATGCCCTTTGAACACTCACTGTGAATCCCAAGCAGGGAGAGGGCCCCATGGCACCTGTAAACATCTAGCAGCTGTTTGCAGCATGCTTGAGAGATTTGCTGAAAATGGGACATTAAGAATTGCAAAATCCTGCACTGAGAATCTAATGTCTTTCCATAGACCAAAGAGTACATACAGCGGTATGTGTTTTGTTTTAAACAGGAAAAAGATTCTTCTTTAATTAACTTATTCTAACAATATTACATATTAATTACATATTATCATTTCTGTCATTGAAATTTATGTAAATCTGCTCATATTTATGTTCTAAAATAGGTTTATCCTACTGGCCATTTCCATAAATATTGAATATTTTTTTATTAAAACACAACAGGTTCTCCAGTAAAAGCAGAGGATCTCCCATCTAAAAAGAGGCCGTATGAAGATTTTTTTGAAGATCCGAGGGCACTCAAACACAGAAACAATCCGTCTTACAACTCTATGGTGCAAAATATCATCACCAACTACTGCAGCATGACATCTAAAGATATCTCTACGAGGTATCTGTATCCAAGAGCAAATCTTCAGGTATATTTCAGGTATATGTGCATGTAAAACAGGAAATATTAAGTTAATGTAAGGTTCATCATAGCTGTTTATAATTTACTGAATTATTATGTACTACATCTTGTACATACATTGAACATTCATGCAAATAAAAAAATCTTTTAAGTAAATATAACCATTAAACGGTTAACCACACATCTTTTTCATTTATCACCTATACATGTGCATGTATGTACATTTGAAAATATGAATTGTGCTGTCAAATTTAAGGACACAATTTTGAAAATACAGCTGACAGATCTATGTTGTTATTATTTGTTTATTTTGATAATACAGGTTGTGTCCATGATGCATGGACTATGGTCATTTGCCACTTACAGAACAAATGGTTGATAATGCTTTGATGGTAGGTAATTAAGCCATGAAAAATATTAAAAATCTAATTGTCCTAAAAAATTTTATGAAGTCATCTAAAATGGTTGCAATTTTTTTCTCTCCTTTTTCCTATGAAATATTTGATCATAAATAATAATGATAATTAAAAAAAAAAGAAAAGAAAACAAAATAATATTTAATGTATTTAGTATATGTAAGTTATTATTAAAGACAATTGTTATTTAGACATAACATTTCAATGAAACCTACTAAAATATATGTAGGTCGATGAACGAAAAATTCTCCAGATAGAAGCATCAACAAGAGGACAGACTAAAAACACCAAATGGTTTGAGGCGAGGGAGTGGAGACTGACTGCATCGCGATTTGGTGAAGTTTGCAGAGCTACTTGTTGACGCAATACCAGTAAATTATGTAGTTCAATTTTGTGTTCAAATATCAAAATCAAAGCCATTTTACATGGGGAAAACCATGAAAAAAAGCTTTGAAATTGTTTGAAAACATGTTTGGCATAAAAACTACAGAATGTGGACATTTTATCTGTTTAGACTACCCATATCTGGGAGCTTCCCCAGATGTAGTTGTAGATGATTCTGCAATTGTTGAGGTCAAATGCTCCTACAGTGGTAAAAATGAAATTGTCAAACCAGGAGGTCACTTCAAGTATCTTACGATGTTAATGGAAATTTTGCATTGAAAAAGTCACATAATTATTATGATCAAATACAGGGTCAGCTGTACATAAGCAAAAAAAAAGTTTCTTATTTTGTTGTTTTTACTCTGAATGATCTTTTTGTTCAGAGATGTTTCTTGACAAACATTATTGCGAAAATTCTTTGTTGCCAAAGTTGAAAGTATTTTTTGAGAAATATTACAGGCCATTCATAGCATCAAAATTATGAGCATATACCTGAGACTTGTTCAGTTTTACATGGCCATCAAAGATGGAATGTTTTACATGTATAATATGATATGATGTTGTCCATCTGTCTGTGTCTTAATGGCATGATACAAACTGAATCCAAGCTCCAAGATCTTGAAATTTGGTAGATTTGATCATTTATTACAACCCTGCTGTTATTTTGTTCTCTATGCCATGCAGAACATTAAGGGGGATGGATGTGTTTTTGTTTGTTTAACAAACACAAATTAAATTGTTTATATATTTTTTTGCTTGTGGAAATCTTTGTTCAGAAAAATGTAGACACACATCGTTGTAGGCAAAAATTGTTGTTAAAGATGAAAGATTTTTTTTGTTTTGTTTTTGAGGAATATAAAGGACATTAAATTTTTTTTGATGTGAAACATATTTTCTTTAAGATATTGTATGTGCCAAATGTGTTATTATTTAAAGGAATTTTTTTCTCATAATTTCAATACAACTGATGTGTACAATTTTTTTTAATTTTCAACTTGAACCATATTGAAACTAGCTTTGCGCATTCTTTAATTCCTAATTGTAATCAAAATGACATTTGCATTCAGTCAAATATATATATACATGTTAAACATGACTGAAATTTATGAATAATATACAATTAATAACCCCTTATAATGTCAACATGGTGAAATAAGGACCCAAGACCTGGCCCACGAGGTGACCTGACCTGACCGAGGCCGCGTAGCGGCCGAGGTCAGGTCAGGTCAACGAGTTGACAAGGTCGAGGGTCCTTTTTTCACCATGTTGAACTCATAAGGGGTAATCAATTGTTTAATTATACCGATATAAGTTAAGACAACGTTTATAGGCTTAATTACTAAAATAATCAATTGTGTATTAGACCTACGAACTGTTATTATCAGCATTTAATCGGGATCGGGATTCGCTAGTGACATTGTTTACTTTTCGCCTGCAAGTCTTGTAAGTTTTTGCACCGCCGATTTATTAAAACACTCTGTGATTGTCAGTAATGCATTTCTATAAATTCACAAATACCATTTCCGAGTACAATGACAATGTGGTGCAGACTTTTACTGTACAAAAGATCCAAGTCTGCATTCGTTAAATTTGACATTGTAACGAAAGTTTCACACTTATTTTTTTCAATGAAAACGATAAATTTTATGACGCATCTGAAGGACAATCGTCTTCCGTATCATAAAAAAACTATACATATTTTTATAACGGCATTTTTTGTAATAAACAGTCATTACTGTATGCATTAATTTTTAAATTTCAATGGAATTTACATTAACGGGTCATTTTTAGCGGCCATTATTTATAATGTCCGGGTCATTATACCCACGTGCAATGATTCCTAGGTCATTATTGCTGTCAATGGTACTTTTTGGAGTCATTATTGAGTTTAAAAGCCTTCTAATAAGCCAATCAAATTTTAGTATTCTTAATAGAGGTATAATAATTTGGAATATCTACCTCAGAACTTAATTTTTTTTTTTGGACTGAATAAATCATTATGTGCGTCATGTTTGCTATTAAATGAACTGCTGTATGCAGCTACTATTGTCTTTTATTAATTAATTTTTTTCTCCTATTTAGTATTTAAGGACAGAATAATATTTTTCAATGGATTTAACAATAGTAAAAGAGAGAAAAATCATTGGAATAATCAGATATCCAAATCAGAATCCTTGCATTACTAGTTGGGTGATTTAACTTATGAGCTACATAAACTGGTGTACAAAAAAAAAATAGAATTGCTACAATAGTGATATAAACCTCTTTCAGAAATTATACAACACTGCTTCAAATATGGCAGTTGAATTCCTTTTTATGAATCGTGTTCAGCTTTAAGTACTCAGTGATTATTCTTGAAGCAACTGAGGTTCTTATCATGAAATGATAAGTTCTGGACACTCTGCAAGCCTTTGCATTTTTGTGTACAATAGAATTCCTGAAATTAGATATGGCAAAACATATAAAAATTATTCTAGACCCTAAAAGAATTTTGCTGCATGGTATCCCATGCTTCAGAATTTTGTAACTCTTATTTAATCCAATAATTCTCTCAATGTGAATACGTTTTGATGACATTCTCCTATCTTCAACCATTTCTTGTGCATCTAGCTGTGACTTACCCTTTAAAAAGATTGGTGTATTGACAGCAACATCATGGCAGGCAAACAAATCTTGCACCATGATTCCTCTGTCTGTCATGATGCTGTCTTTCTTGTCAAATAATTTTATGGTTGGATCTAGCAAAGATGACTTCTCAATGATTTGTCGGTCACTTGCTGAACGTCCATAAGAATCAGATATAAAAGTAACCGCACCTCTGGGACTGCAGCCTATCATTGTTTTCAACGTATTCCTGTGTTTGTAGTTTGACCACGTGAAGCTTTGGCAATTTACATGAGAGGGTTTCTGAATAGGAACCTCAGTTGCATCAAGAATAACTCTTGTTTTTGGAAACTTTTGTTTAAAATCAACTGGCATGGTTTCCTGAACTATATCCTTCGACAGCCAAATGTTAAGCTCTTTTTATTGAAAATAAAGGAAGTTTATCGACTGAACTATTATCCTAGAAACAGTTGATTCTGACACTTTGAAAAGCAGTGCCAACTCTACATCATCTTTTGCTTGTCGCAATTTCATGAGAGTCATAAACAGTTGATCTTTAGGGTGTGACAGAGAGCATTGATATTTCAGTTCAAATGCAGCAGGCCCCAAGCAGTAAAAGAACATCATATAATGGTCAAAATCATCAAATCCTGTGTAATACAAAACCGCCTTATCATCAAAACGAAAATTATCAATAGAGTACTTTTCTGATAAAGGAATTTCACATTGAATTTCCTCATCACATTTGGGACAATTTTGTTCTGGTTTTCGATTTTCCTCCATCATCCCATGTGTACATGTTGTAACTTCAGTTTCATTTTGAAAATCTAAGCTGCCAAGCTCAGGCTGCACAGATAGATCATCAGATGCACCTCTGCTTTTGTAACGCTTTGCTCTTGGGGACTCATCAGTGATGCTTTTCCGAAACTCGAACACTGTTGGTACTGAGTTTTCTTTCAAACAGGAACGGTCTCCTAAAGTAATATTTAGTACATCAGAGAATCATAAACATTTTCAACAAAAGACACATTACATTCACATTACGTATTACAGCTCTTGCACAATAAAAAGATTATCCTTTTGTAACCGCTTTTCATATTTTACAAATATTTTTAATATGCCTCCCTATCACAGGTTACTTGTTTTGAACACAGATCAGGATACTCCTCTTGGAAAGATTTTTCATAGGGAAATCCGAGATTCCTCTGACTCTTACCCCTGCTTTTATACTATGACATGTCATAATATAAAAATGGGAGTAAGAGTCACGGGCTGGGGGTGTTTTAATTTTTCTAAACCCAAGTAATTCTATCAAGAAGGGAAAAAAATCTGTACTAGAATAATTATGTACAGCACATAATATAAAATGTGATATTTTTATAAATAAAGAGCACCCCTCCGGGGTTCCACATATCACATATCCTAATAATAGGTGTTCCTCTACAATCATTTTTTAAGCATAACAGCTAGTTATTGTGCTTTTATAATTAATAAAAGCAATTTATATAGATATGGTTATATTTGTAAATTTTATCTGTATGGTACTCTCTATACTTCAAGGACTTGGATGAGCATCAACTGAAAAAGAAACAAGAAACCGCAAAGCAACACGAACTTTAAATTCATGTGTTAAATCAAGAATACGTAAAATGAATAAATAAATTTTAAAAAATAACATAAATAAAAAAAAATTTTGTTAGACGTACCTTATAGTCCAGTGCTTCTATAATCATCTGCCAGAAAATGTAAATGGCAAACAACATCCTGTTTCTTAGGTCTCCATAAACGTTTCATTTTCGGATCAATTCTCTTAACGAGGTTCGCTCCTGAGATTTTGAGCAGATTTTTATCTTCACCTATATTTCAAAAATTCTGCATAATTTTTTAATTCTTACAATAAATTTGGAAAACTCCATGATTAAATTCCATACCAAAAGCATTAAGTGAGGAATATATCTTGTGGCGGAAGGTTTTTTAGAAGAAAATGATAATTTTTTTATCTTTCGAAGTATTTAAAGTATGTTGTTTGGATTCCTATTTTTTACATGCAGTCTGCACACAGAGTTATTTTGTGCAGTGAACTGTTTTATACTGGTCCTAAATTACATGTTTATATCAAATAAACTGTCATGAATTCTATCTTCATATTTGATATACCGTTCACGGTAGCTCAGTCGGTAGAGCGCTCGCTCCGTGATCGGGAGGTCGTGAGTTCGAATCTCGGCCGCGACTGACCTAAGTCGATAAAAAATGGGTAGCAACTGTTCCTTCGCCATGCGCTCGGCACTTTGAAGTGAAAGTTGCGGGTCCTTCGGATGAGACCTTAAAAACCGAGGCCCCGTGTCACGGCAGGCGATGGCACGATAAAGATCCCTCACTGCTCAATGGCCCTGAGTGCCGAGTAAACGTCAAAATTTGAAGCCCTTCACCGGTATATGGTGACGTCTCTATAGGAGTGAAAAATTCTCGAATGGGACGTAAAACAACAATCAATCAATCAATCAATCATATTTGATAAATATAGCAAATATATTGTGAAAAGTCAAGAAAAAAATAGCCGTAATTTAAGCTTAAAATTAGCACTATTTTAGTAATATCTAAAATTTAACATCACAGACCCTTACTTTTAATTTTCTTTTCTGAATATATAAGATACTTTTAACCATTCTTCTTAAATTCAGTAAAATGTCATTACTTTCAAATGAATTTTTTGCTTGTTAAATTTTTAATGCCAGAAAAATGAAAGTTTTTGGGTGCAAAAAGGTCAAATAATTGAATATGCAGAGTAATTTGAAATTTTTTTCTTTGTCGAAAATTTTAATGTGTCTATTCAAGATGAAATAAGACTGTGCTTGTTCCCATAATTTATTTGAATAAAAAATATTCGAGGAAAAACTTTAAAAACTGGTTTATGTGTAAGATGTATTTACAGTGTAAAAAGGTCAAACTAAATGCTCTGTAGCGCCGAAAGAAGCGCATTGATCCCCAATTTTTGTTTTGATTTTTAATTAAGCTATGTCTATAAATTCTAAAAATATACTTGATAAAAAATCCTCATTACTTTTGATGGAAGGATCCAACCCCCTTAATAGCAACGATCTATTTCTGTTGTAGCTATAGATCTGATGGGAATTTATGTCCTCCCGAATTATGACATCCTGGGACACAGCAATACTGTGGCATTGTTGATAAAATTGATGTTTATTGGCAATACTGAATTTGTTTACATGCATTCAAAGCGATGACGCGAAAATCAAACGCTCAGTTAACCACCTCTAAAACCGTCGCGCCACCCATCGCGGGAAAATACGAGAATGAATCCTATAGTAGACCCATTCTAACAAAGTTAGCGCCATCTCTCATGCATATATTTTTTTATCTTTTTTTCAATCAAGGGTAGGTAAGCGAAAATTCTCTTAATTTGCAAAAAGTATGGACGAAACACAAAGAATGAGTTTATTGTAATACAGTCTTAATTCCTTTTAACATCTTAATTTTGTTAAAAGACCCTTTAACAGATAAACAAAAGTAAATAAGTAAATTTATTATCTACCCAACTGTTTGTCACCCAGTTTTACTGTTGAATTTAGGTGATCACGTGACGTTGTGATCCGGCGTTCCGGATCACCACACTGTGGTTTTCTGAATCCATATCAACCCTCTCTGAAACTGATGACGTAGTACACAGATAAATGACGTTTTTATTCTCGTGCATCAAAAGGTTCATTTTCATTGACAAAATGGTTTGTTTAATGGATAAAGGTTATGTAATTGATCCAAAGAGTTTCCTTATATATTTTTCTAGTTGTAAAGAGATATATAATAAAGAACTGGGTACGGTAATCCCAATAATCGGCCCTGTAAAATCGGCAAAAATTAAACGCAGGTTTACATTTTATCAAATGTATTAAGTTACTGTTGAGGTTTCCCTGTGTGTGAAATGGGTAACAATTTTTCTCAACTCAAGCGCCCTTTCATTTATATAACGTTCACAACCGGTCTTATATTCCGGAATTCCCTAATTTTGGACATTTTTCTCCTCTTCAAGTCTATATTTTCATATGGCCACATCCGAGTATGTATGCGAAACTTCACAGAAAGAACAAATGTAACTCGATTTCTAATATTAAAGAGAAAAAATTACCTTACAAAAGTGCGGCCACGTCCGTTTCAATAAAAAATTGAAGTTGAAAATGCTGCATTTTTGGATAGACATCACTTTTTCTCCACAATAAATCTATACCTTTTAAAGAAATTAATTGTTTAATTCTATATCTGAAGGTTTATTATCTTTTTATTGTCTTTTAAATTCAATTCTGCATTTGAAAAATAATTTAATACAATTTTTGCAAATGAAAACCATATAAACCATTCTCAGTGAAATTTATGATGGAACATTACATGTAAATTAATGACGCAATGCACTGAAAAAATGACGTCACAAAGAGCAATAATGTTGAAAATATGTACTTGAGACAAATTCTTCAGTCTTCGCAACTTTGATAAATATTCAATCAATATTTAAAGCGTGAAAAAGTAATAACGACATAAGTTGGGATGATTCAGACAAGTAATTTACATTTAATTACATACATATACCTCCAATTAAAACGCGCGTCTCCTTCATAGTGGACATTGACTTTATTTGTTCAAGAAAGGATTTTTTTTTCACCTTTTTATTGAAAATCATCAGCTTTATTAAGTATGTTTTATTCGACTTCAATTTATATATGTTTGGGATTCATAAATATCAAATTAAAGACAATAGCTAGTGATCGGGGCGGGGAAAAGGGGGGGGGGGTAGATGAGAAGCTTGGCGTATAGCAGTCACCATTTGAACTTTTCTTCCCCAAAACTCTTATCCTTGTCACTGTATTGTTGCAGATTTTTATTTGACAAAATTATGTCAGAAAGGATTCTAGTGTTTGATCGCATAATCTTGAAGTGTTTATATATGACTAAACACTTCTATATCTGCCACTGCCGACCTACATTTACTTATTGAAGGTCTGCAGCTGGGAATGGAAAAGTTCTTATTTACACCTATTAATTATATATACATTTATCATGCTGATCGGAATATTGACAAGTAAAATCGGGTTTAATTTATAATTTACAAGGAATTTTAGATAAGGAAAAATTAGTTATGTTGACAAACCAAGTTTATAAGGTTTATAAACCTATACAGTGGTGTACGTTTTCGGCATTTTCTACAAAAATTTAAGTGAAGCATAATACAATCAACCTTTTTTTTATTTTTCTATAAATAAGTATGATCTGTTCCAAGTTCTGTAAGAAATACAAACACGATCATGCATTACTTGTGGACAAGACAACCCCCTTTCTGCTCCATAATCGATGTTTTTTATTTTCTAGAAATTATTTTCCTTGTACATTTTTAAGGCATTCCAAATCTTGAAATGAAAAAGGAAAAAAAAATTACTCTATATAAAAAAAAACGAATGTACATATTAATACACTATATATATTTTTAATCTTGAAGTATGCGAGTATTTTTAAAAGGATTTATCCAGATTATCCATGAAATAAAACATTAAGTATGTCATAGGAAATATGTTCAGTATTCCAATGGATGTTCATCGGGGCTGGAGGAGGGGGGGGGGTGTTCCTGCCTAACATCACCTTTTGTGAAAACGGTGCACAATATCTCTGAATTTTAAAGATTTCAACGTCCGTCTATGATGATAATCCGTCCCAGAAAAAAACATATTAAAAGTATTTTATCGTTACATGTACTACAAGGACAAATGTACAGAATTGCAAATGAAATGCCCCAGAGGGTTAATGTATCCAAAGGAAGTAATAAAATTATCATTTTCACCGAAATATATCAAATATTTTACCTGCGGTTGTGTAACATGTAAACATCAGATGGAGTTCTAAAGCAAAATCATTATCTATTTTACTGCAGTTTTTGTCTTAGTAGATGTATAATCACGTTATACATGTCAGCATTTTGTTAGATATATTTTTAAAGATTTCTTTTATGACACTAACATGAAAAGAAACATAATCCAGCAAGTGATATAATCCGGAAATGGCAAGGATGACTCTATAAAGAAGCACTGTGACGTGTTTTGCGTACTGTTTTCACAAGTAAGAAAATATCATCAGATTTCGTATAATTTGATAACTGAACTAGAAATATAATCTCCATGTAGCTTATACAAAGGGACGTGAAAGTGAATTTTCATTCTTCTGTGTGAGTGTTCTGTTATTCTGCATTTCGATTATTCGCATTTTGTCTCCATTTATATAGTGTGATTGGAGGGGGGGGGGGGGCGGGAGTCGTTACTGATAATCAAGTTATACAAGTACTGTAATGAATACCAATAAAAATATATATATATCAAGAATTTGATTTAAAACTAAATACACCCCTTTTCAATTTCCCGTGGCTCTCCACTCGACTGTGTCCGTTGATCGATCTTTTACTGATCGGTATCAATGCAAGTGTCTGCCGCTTCATGCTGCATTGCATTGAAGACGACACGCGCAGATTTTCATAGCTGACGTGGATAAACTCTATATGTAAATCATACACACAATATTATATCCTTATTTTTATAACTTTTATTTTAGGGAATTATGCCCGTTAGAATGTACTACGGGCTTCTAAATCCCTTCCCGAGAATTCGTGAGCATTTCCTGTCGAATTCACCACGCAGATTTAGGCATGTAATTTTCGATTTTGTCAAAATGACATGCAGAGTAGCGTGTTAGTCTCTAAAATTAAATTATTAGCATTGGCCATATAAAATATTTTGTTCATCAAGAAAGGGATCTAAACAAATCGCACACCCTTTTTTTATGAAAGCCTTTGGAGATTCACGGGTTTTATTTGAAGCAAAATTGTTCAAGGTCTATAACGCAAGAAGGCCATTCCAAGTTTATTTCTAAGTTTAGCGTACGCGGACGGATTGATTTTGAGGTTATGAAATTAAAAACAAACACAAATTAAAATTGACAAATACAAAGCTTTGAAACGCAAACACAAAGTTAACTCAAATTAAAATTAACAATTACGAATCTCTAAAATGCATTTTACTCTTTTGGGATTGACATCTCTCTTTTTTAAGTGGTGTATTAATTTTTATTTCAATAAACTAGTAGTTTAACTTAGTTTTATTGCGAAGAGAGGTCTCAAATGATAATAATAAGAAATTCTAGAACTGTTCTGAAAATGTTGTGTTTTTCCCCTTTTGGTTTGTGTTTTCTCGGATAGAAGATAGGTTTTTCGAATTTAGGGTGGACGCCAAACAAAGAAGAAACTTGGAATGGCCTCATCAATCAGGACTCCACAAGTTACATCTTATAACCGGTCTCCCCTTGTGGTTTAAACATAGAAAGTGATTGTGTGTATATTTCTGGTTAGTGCATTTGACATGACCCATGCAGTAAAGCGGATTCACTGGAATGAATAAATAACATGAAAGAAATCCTAGCATCAAAGAAATTTTTAACAGACATCCCATAACCCCGTAATAGTGAGTAATTTATACGTTTATCAAAAAATAAATAAATAAATACATAAATAAAAATAAAAAAAATTAAATAAATAGAAAATACGAAATTAATAGCGCTGCCATTTGTCGGACTGGAAAAGAGGGGAGTGACGTTAGTGGCTTTTTCATAGCCTAAAATCCGATTTTGACAACTTTATATGGGACGTTCCTATTTTCTTTTTTAATTCATTCATATGTCTTTAAAATTTTTAATGCAACTTCATAGATAATGCGAAAAATGGTTGAAGAAATTGTTACTATTTTAAAAGAAGTACGTACCTTGTCTCGTAGGTATGAATGAATTAAGCTTCATCACTTGTCTGATGAAATCGTTTGTAATGAAATTATATTTTCCTTTAAATTATTATACTCCTTCCAGCTATCAAAGATACATGTACGAAGAATTGAATTAAAAGTTCAAAATTATTTTCTGGACCATAAGGCAGGTTAAAATAAATAGTTTCCGGTGCAGAGAATTTACAGATTTCTTTTAACATAACGTTAAAATCACAACATAGGCGACCGAAAACCCGGCGTGAGGAGCAGTCGTTCTTTATGTAAGAAATAGGCATCTAAAATGTAAAACAATAATTGATATCTTTACACGTGGTACTAACTTTTAAATTATTAAATGTTTAGTTCTTTTATTCCTTGTATCAGAAGATACTTCAGATTAAAATAAATACATGTATCATAATACTATTAATTGACATGGCCGAAGAGAACATTATACATAACTATACTCACAAAAGAGAAGATACCAGTAAATGTGCATATATATACATATATATTTTAACATATTACGATGTACTTAATTACATGTTCTTAACTTTTATTATAATGAATCTTATTTGCTATCCCGTATCTGATTTGCTTCTCTTGAAAAAGTACCAAAACCCCTTAAATCCCTTAAGTTTCGAACACTAAATTATAGTTGTAATAACTTTTTATACACTACTATTTTTTATCTACTACTATTTTTTCAATATTTTTTTTATATACTGTGGAATCATTTTGATTCCTTGGCGTAAACGTTCATGGGCAAGCAAAATTTTACTGGTTCGTGGGGACGTAATTTCGTGGGTCACTCATTTATATGGTTAATACAGTGAAACAATACGTAGATAAAATAATTGTTTGGGGGGATGTAAATTCGTGCTTAAGTGTTACCTAAGAAATCCACACACATTGGTCCCTAACGAACAATAACGATTCAACCGTATTTCTTACTTATTATTATTATTTTTAAATATCTTAATTTTTCTTTAGGAGACAAAGATGAAATATGGTTATGTGTAATAGAACATGTACATAATATATAATTGACAGTAATTAATTACAAATTTTAATGTAATTAACCAAACTTTCAATTCCAGGAAATTGTAATCCGATAAATTAATTTTCAGAAAAGGCATGTAACTCAATTACTTTTCAATTACATTAAATTACACACAGGCGTATAATCAAATGAAAAAAATTCCCCTTTTCATACAAGCAATTTTCAAGAAAACTTTGCTCATTGTTTGAACAAAATGTTTGGATGGTGATGGTTTATTTATTATTATTGTTAGTTATTTTGAAGAATTCACACTTTTCCCCCTTTTTCGTGAATTGTTTCCTCTTTGTTTGAAATGAATTTTTTTTTTAATGTTCACTATCAGTTTGATAAAGCTTCCATGCAGTCCGCGTTGTTACAGAAAGGGGAATTTAATTGTAAAGGTGAATATCCGATTTTTGCCTTTACACTAGTAGTTTTCAGTGTGATTTCACTCTACAGTATTCTTTTTCAAGGTTATTACTCCTTTAGAATTCTTTAATGAGTAACCATCATACCTTGTGTTAATTTTATTTTAAAAATGTTACAATAAATGAACCGGGACGTCTAGGCTATAATGCTACATGATTAGAAAAATGAGGAGCAGAGATTACGAAGAAAAAAAAAAGGAACAACATTAAAACTTCGTTTTTTATCCTAAAAACTCTATACACCGTGTATTTGTTACAAAAAAGTAGTTCAATGATAACAGATTACTAAGACAAAGGGCATTTAGCGTCATCAACATGCATTTTTCCGTATTTTTTTTTTTTTTTACCAGCAATCCAAATTTTTATGTTCCCATGTTTTCATAAAGTAATTATGCAATTTTGATTGTAAAGTTTGAGTTAGTAAAAAAAAACAGAAGCAGCAACCATTAGTTTGAGGTGTATAACTCTGGCACTGTCCTTATTTGATTATGAAATACTTTTTAGTCTCTAATCAAGTTCCAGAATTCGGTCATTTCATTGGTGTTTATGAAATGCTGGTCTATAACTGGATGCAACGGACAAATAATATCACCAGCTTCTTTACAAACATATTTGTCCTGCAAAAAATGTTTGTTGATATCAACCGCAATCGTGTGTCTACTGTCTTCTCGGCATCTAAATCCTCTATCGTATAACAGACTTCTGTGAAAGGTCCCCGAAATCTCATTTAAGATACCCTCTATGATACTCTGAATGCTGTAAGTTTTATCCTTTTCTAACGAACATCCTGGAACAGGGTGATATATCTGTAATTGTATAGATGTTTCTGTAACAGATAGCACAACATTGTATTTATATACAGAAAACAACGCTGCGTTTCTGTACAAACAGGATGTTTCATTCGTTATTAGTACTTCCCAACCTTCTACCTGCATGCAAGATACAACGAGACGGAAAAAGAGGAAGAATGGCAAAAAGCTGAATCTGTAGATAAGGACAGATGATTTACTCTCCGATCTATGAATGAGGTCTGAAACAGCAGTCTCTATTTCTTTACGATTCATGCATGGAACATAGTGGGATTCTTCACCAACAGCCATCAAGCCAAGTCTTTGCATGAAATTGAGTAGTACTTCTTTGTGATAAAGTAGATATCGAGAATCATCCTCAATGTCGGAGTCAAGATCGTCAGAATCTGCTTCCACCAATTGTTCTTTCAACTGATCATCTTCATGTTTCCAGATCTCTGTTAGAAGTTCATCCCTTAACTGCCCTGTCTTGTAGTACTCATTCCAATCCAGCTGTGCAGCAGCAATACCTTTAAAATGAAGTGTGTCAGTGATGATGAGTTTAAAAGCGTCAATAAACCACTGAACATCAATAATGATATATTCTTGAAGATCCTTCTCATTGAAGTAAAGAATCTTTCCTGCGTCATGGTAGTATCGTAACATATCAATCTTTGATTTTAATTCCTCTCTTGGATTCTCCTCTTCTACTTCAGCGTTATCAGTAGGATCTATCATTAAGTCATCAATATCTAAAATCTTGTCCCATTTTTTCTGCCGATTTATTTGTATTTCAAAGAAGGCCCACTCTTTAGGAATGCTTTCCTTCCATCGCTTATGAGATGTTATGTCAAAAATATGTTGTTGTAGATCATGAAGTGTTTGGACAGGAAAACGTGTGCAGTAACATTTTTTCTCCACTATGTACTGTGATAAATTAGACTCTTTAGGGGTTTGTTGTTGCAAACTGTGCAAAAGGGCATCTTTATCCTGTAACAACAAACTAATTTTTTTTTAAAAAAAAAAAACTTTTTTCTGAATCTAAATATTTTGGATTTTGTAAGTTCATTTGATGAAAAAAAAAAACTAATTATTTACGAAAGGTATGACATATTTATGCACCTTAAAGAATAAACGTCACTTGTACTCACATTTGTTACATAATCAAATAAAAAGTGTCTATCACATAATCATAGTGAAAGTTTTTTATGATAAATTTAAAGTCAACAAACCACAAAGTATTATCGTTCATGTTTTTGAATCTTAATTTTAATAACATATTTCATTCCAAATGCTTCTTAAAAGACTTATCGCATGTTTCTCAATTATATGAAATTAAAAACGTATTACGTTCCTTATGACCACATTTTATAAATTTTGTTTTTTACTGCGGATATACCGCTTTAATTAAACAATTATTAACTCAAATGAAAACCTCTGAATTAAAAACCCAAGTTAATTAGATAGCAATCATAAGACCCTATGATGTCAGAGGCGACAATGACAGATCATTTCGTCACGTTATCTTACTAAAATATACGCAATGCAACCTGGATTTTCTGCGTTATGGACGACCAAATCGCTGATTTTTTTTTTCGATATAGAAATTGAATATCTTATATGTTTGAACTATCAGCCAGAGAAAAATTCGAAAAATCTGTCAACATTGTTAACTAGTAGCGACGATAGCGAGAGAGACGAGGCAAAGAGGAAGAAACTCGCCAGCACAATATTTTATTTGCCATCTTATCACATTTATTAAACTATTTTCTTCATTTATTATAAAATTTAAATTTAACAATGTATATATAATTTTGTTATTCTTTTTTTATATTATTATTTTTAATATAATATAAATTTATGCAAGTATGCCTTAATGTGATTTAAAAAAAGATGGCATCTTCAAAAATAACAATTTTCCTACCACGAAACATTACTGAAATCATAGCTACAGATTCTAAATATTTAGAATAAAAAAAAAAATATCTCAAAAAGCCTTATACATAGAACTACATGCATGTATAGTTCATAGTTCTATAGTAATTGAAAGGCATGTTAAGACTTTTTTTTTTTAGCCTTTTTCGCAATTAAGCTGCATTTGTCATTAATAACTTTGTTAACAGTGTGCAAATTCTCATCTCTCTATCACTGAATTGTCGCCTATGCCTAGCAGTATTTCGCTGCAATTGGATTGAAATATGCATTTGCCGTATTTGAATTTCAACTCTCAGTATCGCTTAAAATATGGTACAACAACATTAAATGTATTCAATATTTTAATAAACAAGGTTACAAATATTTTTCATATAATTTGGAATTTTTTTTTTTTTTTTTTTTTATTTATTTATTTATTTATTTTTTTTTTTGAAAATCATGCGATAAGTCCTTAAATCATACGTTTTAATGATCTAAGATAAATAAAATTACTTTATTATGTAAATTTTCAATACTTTCCGGCTGTTTTACCTTATATTGTCTGTTTCCTTTTTCCCAGTGAGTTGCAACAATTAGAACTGTGGGCTTAGGATCTTTTTCATTGTCAGAACCACAATAGGTATGTATAGACTTTATCCAGAATACAAAATAGTCTACAATAAATAACATTAACACAGATGACGTTCCTTATAATACTTATTATTTATCATTGTAATAGGAAATAAAACAGAGAATAACATACAATTTTTACCCGAGTATTCATTTCTTTGAGCAATTTTTCGAGAACTATGCATAATAATGGAACTTATGCAAAGCAAAACGATCACATTAATTTGTTGTGTAATCTTCTAGAGATTGTCCTTATGCAAAACCGATTTATCTGATGCAAACTAAGGAAAGGGTAAAACAAATTGTTTAAACAATGGATTCTTTAAATGTGTTACTATAAATTAGAGTGTTCTAAGGAACGCATGTGTCGCCTGCTTTTAGCTTCATTAAAGATGTAAATAAATCTAAGAGTGGTCAGGTTTTTATTTAGTATTACCGTGATAGTACTTGCATTTACCTGCAAAGATAAAAAAAAAAATGGCATTCATGGCAAGACTGCGATTGAATCTGACAATCAAAGAAAAAATTTGGTTCCCTAACCTTCAAATGAAAAAATTGAATTGAAATTATTAGAAATATCTAATTATCATTAATTTTATTAATACATGTGTGTGTTTCCAACAATCCTCCAAAGAGATTTCAGTCTGTCTTTACTGTGATTGTAGGTTTACATCCATTGTGGAATACCAATTCCGATGTATTTTCCTTGTATTTAAATACAAGTTTATTTATAACTAAATATCATACAGTTTCAAAGTACTGTATCATTAGCTTAAGGTCAAGATCTAGTAAATGAAAGGTGCCTACAGATTTCTCAAAATTGAGAAATAAATTTCTTTAATGGTGCTTTATAACTTTAGCTTGGTCAAATAAGGTCTTTTGGGGCATAATTTGTAGATGAACAAGACGAAAAATTATATTTTAAACTGTCATTTTCAATAAAAAATTAAGAAAACTAGTCATGAATACGGGAGGGGTTTTTTCCATATCAGACAAAGAAACGCATTCAGATTGCCTACAGTCTCTCAGAAAACGATAATTTATATGTTCTTGGCCTCTTCTTTAAAATAATATTAAATTGAATATAGGTATCGAGATTACTTTTCACATTATTTCAAATTGAATTCCATGAAAGTACTCTATTTTCTACAAAATTCTACTAGAGCCGTTAAGTACGGGAAAAAGAAAGTTAAAATTGATTATGACGTCATAATTGATCTAGCACCAAAAAGTTAGTCTAAAGTCATTTACTAGATCTTGACCTTAACGTGTCTCAGACAATCCTCCAAAAGAGATTTCAGTCTGTCTTTACTGCAATCGTCAGTCTACAATATCCATTGTGGAATACCGATCCCGTTGTATTTTCATAATATTTAAATATAAGTTTATGTGGTCACTTAATATCATACAATATCAAAGTACAGAGCATGCGCTGATAAACATGTATAAATGCTAATTATCAAAATACTGCCATTCAAAAGTCATAAGTTAAATTAAACTCCCCGCGGGTATTTTTTTGCAAAGTTGGTCAAAGGTCAAGTGGATTGTAATGATGGTAATTTTCGCGTCTTATGACACAGTGCACGTGCTAAATAGCATAGACTTGCCTTTTAAATGTCAAAAATAATGCTATATGTCCTGCAGTATGAACTATTTTTGAAAAGTAAGTCAAAGGTCAGTGATCACGAAGTCGGCAACCATGGTAATTCAAAATAGCCATAGTGCCAAGCAGTGTATGTGCAAAATATCAAATCTATACCTCTTACAGTTTTCCAGATATAGGGTGTACAGACAGACAGACAGATAGACTGATGGACATACAGACAGAAAGCCATCGAGAAAATTGATCCCTAAGTGCCACTCTTCTTTTCAGGCGACACAAAAAGCTGAGTAAATCAGCACAAATCATTTTCTTGTTTTTAATTGTATTTTGATGCATTCTCACATAACCAAAAAAAGTATCAACTAACTAAAGACATTTTGTCAAAAACATTATTAAAAATCAAAATCAAAGTGGTCGAATTTTGTTTTAAACATTTTTATTTTTTTACGCTGTATCTGTCACTTGGAGTAAAATCTCCGAACGATGATGCCATATCTGTTCAGCAAGCAATTTGAGAATTGATCATGTTAAATAACGAGAATTTGGCTAAGACGGAATGTAGAGATATACGTAAAAGGGATTTAAAACAGGTATGCTGATTTATTTACAATGATTATATCTTCTACTGATTATATCTTCTATTGAAGACAGTCTGCTATTTACGTATCCCGGTCGGCCTTTCCTCTGTGATACGTAGCAACAATAATGCAAAAGAACAACACCAAACTGGATACTTCAAAACATAAGATTTGTACAGATCAAAAACTTGTGCTCTAGAATAGTTGGAAAGTGCTGCTAGAATTGTGAGGTAAACATATTTTTAAGAAATATCTCGGGTTATATGTATATAATTCAAAACATCGGGTAAATTTTCCTGCGAATGTGTGGAATAGTTAACGTTTTCTAGGCGGCTTTGATAAATTATCAGACTTATATTTCTTTTAAAAGTCTAAATTTCCTGAATAAAGATTTGAATGATTCCTTAACAAAATCTTTAAAAACCTTCTCGAGAACAGCAAAGCCATGATTGGTCATATTTATGTGTATATGGAAGCATCCTGAAGCGCGGCAAAATTAAGGTAATGCACGAAAATTACATGGAAAAATGTAGGATTAACGACGGCGACCTAATTCTCGGAAGTTCGAATATTTTTTTTCTAAGTTTTAATGAAGTAAGGTTAATGATCAATTTATGACAATAAAGGACAACATTGTACCTTTCGACTGGCAAAACTTTTTCGTGGTTTTTTGAATAAAAATCAAAGTTTTTAGAGTTTGAAGCGAGGCACCGAGGAATTAATGGCGGCTATTTAGGTCCCTTCTCCCCTTTCATACTATATACCCGATTTTGCTAAAATTGTCTCAAGTCCCTATGTTATTGATGGTAGTTCATATAGGCCTATATATCATGGTATACAAACATGGTTTATGCAAAAGCAATGATTTTAAAAAAGATTGAAGATGTAGAATTTTACTTGTTGTAATTATACGTGCGTATTTCAGTTTTGTACATTTTACTGAGCAATGCCAAACAATAACAATAGCAAACATGAAGTAGGGCCACAATTAAAATATTGTTGGTTTGGCGTTGCCGACTTAGTCTTTATACGTTTGGTAGGTAGGGAAAATATTTTTTTAGGTTAAATTTCAGAAATGATACATATGTTGGTAGTATCCGAACTTCATGGGTTTCCAATAGTTTAACAACAACCACAGTCCGAATTGATTCCCAGTTTTGTCATTGATTTTCAAACCCTATTAGTTTTAAACCTTTAATATACATGGTATTAAAAATCACCGAGATTAAATTAGTGTAAAGTCGTTATCATGTGCATGAATCCAAGCATGGCAGCTAGATTCATCTAGCAAATCGGACAGGACATTGTACCGTGAAATTTCTATTTCGAACTGGTATATCTTATTCATCAGTTTACTTTAAAAACCACATTACCACAGAGAGTCATTCCATCAACTTCTATTAATCCAAGTTTACATTTTACCGCTTTCGACAGCCATGCCTTGATTCGTGATACGCATTTACCCAACATCACATAGACACTTATAAATGAAAACTGATCAATCAAGCATTTACATGATTCTTTCCCATTCTGTATATATTACGCAAACGTACAAACACCTAAATCCGGATGAATCTAACGAAATAAAAATTATGATCAGCATCTGTTGAAAAAATTCTTCGGACCGCACCGATTTATGTGAGTCGGCTGGCAACGCCAAACGAAGCTAATTTTATTTTTGGCCTAGTCTATACATAATAGACTTTGAATAAACACCCAGTATCTGGATACAACTCCAAAATTAATGGTTTTCGGAAAAGTAATGTAGCTGTTATTTGGTGTATTTTTTAAATGCATTCGTTTAATTTGCTCCTACATGATAGAGACGTTTTAAACGCATAACTTCAAAGGAAGGTAACTGTTCACGGTAGCTCAGTCGGTAGAGCGCTCGCCCGTGATCGGGAGGTCGTGAGTTCGAATCTCGGCCGCGACTGACCTAAGTCGATAAGATATGGGTAGCAACTGTTCCTTCGCCATGCACTCGGCACTTTGAAGTGAAAGTTGCGGGTCCTTCGGATGAGACCTTAAAAAACCGAGGCCTCGTGTCACGGTAGGCGTTGGCACGATAAAGATCAATCACTGCTCAATGGCCCTCAGTGCCGAGTAAAGATCAAAATTTGAAGCCCTTCACCGGTAAATGTTGACGTCTCTTTATGAATGAACAATTCTCGAATTGGACGTAAAACAACATACAATCAATCAAAGGAAGGTTTCAATTCACAAAAAGACGGTTGTTTACCTACTTAAGTGTTTGTAAATAACTAAAAAATCGTAGTATGATAATTTATATGAAAAATGTTTAATTTTTTAACAAATCTATAATCATATAAATTACAATGGGCAAAAGGGTTGAAAATGAGGAAATTCGGATTTTTGTTGAATGTTCTTTTTTGAGGTATTAGCACACATCTACCACAAAAATTTTATCAAAAATATAAACATCTTGATGTTATTTTTAAACTGTACCCTAAAAAATTGGGGCAGGCCTGTGCTCTATATAAAATTTGATCATTTCATCCCAAAAATGTGATAAATTTAAGCAAATTCCTGTATCTCATATAGTTTGGGGATGTAGATCTCAGGTATATAAGTACAGAACTCCAAGATTTTGTCTTTGATAGACTACAATACCTAGACTATCTTTTAAGCAAAAAATATTTGACCAAAACTTCAGTTCCAATTTGACCATTTTACAGGGCATATTTTGACCCCTTGTGGGCTTAGCTCTTTCGATTAGAAAAGCTCACTTGAGCCTTTGGGTCAGGTGAGATAAAAAGCCGATAAACAAATACTTTTTGACAAGTAGAGCAGTCTCTATGCACGTGCAATAGATATTTCCATGTAAAACAAACTCATAAAATTTCCAATGAAGCGCAGATGTATGCACTCATAACGTACAAATGAAGTCAGTCATACGGAGGAAGAACGACTCATCAAAGGTCTAACGCAGCCAAAGCTCGTGCTACGCAACATGCAGAAATAATGCCCCAAGAAGGAGTAGATGGAAGAAGATGGCAAGAGGCCCATGGGCAACAACGCTCACCTGAGGAACTTTGGTCCTGCTGCTCTTATCAGATGCGCCACTTTGTAATATTTATTGTGGCCCCACACTACCCCTCGGGTTCATGATTTGCACACTTTAGAATCTACTCTACCTCAGAAAGCTTCCACATAGTCTTCATCTTTCCTAGCCTAGTGGTTCTTTAGGAGAATTTGTTTTTAAATAGTGTTCCCTTATATTTCAATGTAAAACTTGGATTCCCTATTTTGATCCCACTCTACCCCTGGGGTCACAATTTGAACAATTTAGAATCTACACTACCCCAGGATGCTTCCACGTAAGTTTCGGCTTTTCTGGCCCAGTGGTGTTGAGAAAAAGATTTTAAAAAAGATTTTTCCTATATACTTTAATTCCCTACTGTGATCCCACACAACCCCGGGTGTGATGATTTGAACAATTAAAATTCTACACTACCCCAAAATTCTTCCACATAAGTTTCATCTTTTCTGGCCCAGTGGTTCTTGAGAAGAAGATATTTTAAAGGACCCCCCTCTATTGTTGTTTTTTCCTTACTATTTCCCTTGTAAGGGAGCTTGGCCCTTCATTTTGAATAACAATTTACACTCTCCGTGACTCAAGGATGTTTTCTTCCATCTTTGATTAAAATTGGCCCTGTGGTTCTTGAGAAGAAGTTGAAAATGTGAAAAGTTTACAGACGGACGGACGACAGACAACATGTGATCAGAAAAGCTAACTTGATCTTTCAGCCCAGGTGAGCTAAAAAGAGAGGCGTAGAGAAGAGGACTGGACATGAAAAGGTGGTTTTTGTATACAAAAGTGCATTTCAATCAAAATTGCTATAAACTCAGCTACGTTAAGGAAGGCCTGGGTTCACATCTGTGATGCACCGTATGGGAAGTTTCATTGTGACGTCATTAAAAAATTAACAAGTGACAAAAATCTATTTAATCACATGATAATGCGTAAATAACAACTTGCATTCATTTAATTTATCAATTATTTATAAAAGCATGTAAAATCACAACATTTGATAACAATACTGCTGAGTTATTAGAAGCAAATCTTGTGTCATAAATGACGTCACTGGCCTTGACTTGACGCAATACAAGTGATCCAGAGGAGTGGATCCATTGGTTTAATAATTACAAAAATGCTTAAATAAATATGAAACCAACACCGATGTTTAAATCTATTCAACAGAATTAAAAGGAAATAATTCATTTAAAACAATAATCTAGGTTATCAATTTATCTAGTTGCTATGGAGCTGCACAAAGAGAGAAAATGTAAAGAATATCGCATATCCGATAAGTGTATACCTGATTAACCTCAAAAGTGCAAGGGCATAGACTAGACTGTTTGAGCTGAAATATGGAATATCAATTGCTTGTATCATGTATATTTTGAAAAGTGCTGGGAGCTGATTCTGCTCGGCATAACATTATTTTAATTCATGGCAGAATTTAAGCGAAGTGGAAATTTTGAGCTATTATACGCATTTTCGGAAAAATTACGAGCATTTCCAAAACAGCTCAAACTAGCTCCCAGCACTTTTCAGGAAGCCATTGTAAATCGTTTTTAATATGTATCAATTTTTTCCTCCAAAAACATGCGTATGCCCTTGCACTAGCTTCATTTTCTACATTCAGATGAACAATTCTATTTTTATACAAGTCACGTGACACACAGCTGATACATGCGATGTAAATGGTACTGAGTAAGTTACACTATCCATTATGGATATCTATTTTACCTTTCCTACATGTTTAAAGGTACTTTGTTGCAAAGATTTTTAAACATAATACGTATTAAGAATGTACTGAGATCGCATTTCCATTTCCTTCCTTAACATAGCCGAGAAAGGCTAAGGCGGAAGTAAGACCATGTTGCTCTCACACGAGCGATAAAAGTGCGATGGACGTAAGGATAACGTACGAATCTTGCACTTTCAGTGGGCGTTTCTTACTACATTAGACGTTTGTGCATCTATCTAACATGAGTTGGAAGACTGCAGTACATCTCTCTTACTACTTTTACAAAACACGCAGCTGTATTTTTTTTTTAAATATGCATACTTCTGACGTCATTCTTGTGCATAGCCTAGCGCATTTTAATTGCTTTATATCAACCTTACTAATTGCTTGCCACACTTTTTTCCTCCATGACCTGTAGACTTACATCTACAGCAAAAAACGCAAAATATAAAGGATTCAATAACTATACAGTAGGATAAAGACTTCGACTAAGATTTGGTTGTGAGTATATGTTTCATTTCGATTTTAAAAAAATCATTGAAAAAAATAAGAAGAGAAAACCAAAGGCTTCGTATAAGAATCACTTTTTGGCTTTCCATGCTCTTTTTTAGGAATAATGTTTTTTTTAACATTAGGCATAGGAAAATAAAATTAAAGCGTTAAAAGAAATAAGGCATCCAGGCCATCACATTTTTACACTCAAGTACCTCCATACGTCCATCCAGAGAAAACGCTCCCATCTTGATCACATACTTCCCTGTCCACCTTCTGGTCAAGACGTTTAGAGGCGTCCACCACCACAACATAGAAAGCTCTCCTGGTCAGGTAAATCTGGTGACAGGCGTAGTACGCACACTGTCCTCCAAAGTCAAAGAAACTCAGAGTCTTAGCGTCAACATTTTTAGCATAACTTTTTCCATTTTGATCGTCTTGGTTTATTTTTCGTGCTGAAATAAAAATCCAGATAATCTTTAGAATGGGCTAAAGTGTCAATGGGTTTACAGAATTGGGGCGTTTGCTTTTGAATTTATTTCTTGAACTCCACACTCCTAATCAATAGCATGAGTATATTTTATGGGATAATCAGAATTATCAGCAAATATTATTACCACTACTACACATTATGATAGTATCAGACTTCGAATAACCCAATTTTGAGTTTGCTTTTTAAAATGATTTTTTAAACAAATAATATCTACGCAAATATCGTGTATTCTGTTTTATTTTTTAAGAAACTGTATGTACAAAGCAAACGGTTTTTTTTCCATAAGTTCTTAAAATTTAATGAATTAATAGAAAAGAACTTAACCTTTTAATGATTTTGTTTTATCACATATATCGAACATTTCCTCATGCACCTCCAATCCCTCAGTAGATTTTATTTCCTTAATTTCTTCTTCACTACAACCGAGGAGACGTTTAAGTAGGGTAGTTTTCCCCGCCCCAGCACATCCTACGATCATCCCCCGGGCATGGTGGACTGTCTGTGTTCCTCTCTTAGCGTACTCCACATACCGCTCTCTGGCTTCCTGCTCCCATTCTAGTACTTCCTTAGGGACTCCAACTGTATCATAAAAGAATCAACAATAATGTAATAAAAAAAATCAATAAAAACACAAATGATACATTTTTTTCTTCAGTTTCAGCTACAGTCAGTGGCATTTAAGTGGTAACTGTCCACATTATGTTTTAAGGTAAATTACATTGGAATTACTTTAAATGTTTTCCTTCAGTATTCTATATAACTTATTTAAATGCTACAATATTTGCAATCTTAAATTGTGTACTTATTTTCTATGTAACGATAAAATTTAGTAATCATCTCATTTCCTATCTAGCTTGTAACACGAGATACGATTGGTTAGTAAACTGGGTGCAAATTTCCGTACACCCAGGTTGAGCGGGGGGGGGGGGTGATGTGACGTCACAATGCATGATTCTCTATCACAAAGTGCAGATATCCTGTTGTTACGATGTATTGAAGCGCGTAGTAAAATCTTATCGATAGTTTGCAATACATTGAGTTGACTTGGGTTTATTTAGTAACATAGGAAATAAATTCGCTATCCCGGTCCAATCAAGGGTGTAGCGATTCACATCGGGTGTATTCCATACACCCTTCGTGCTTCGGCAAAACTCTAAAAATGTAGGAGATTATTTATTTTCCTCAAGTTGGTGTATTTATTCCTCCTGTTTTCAGGAAAAATTATTAATTTTTTTCTATGTCACACACTGACACATTTAGAGTGTGTTCCTATGAACATAAAAAATGAAAATTTTAAAAATAATATACTAAGTATAAGTTTGGAAATAAAAAAAGAAAATGTTTACTGAAAGTTATCAAATATAATGTCTCAGACTTATTCAATCTTCTGTCACTGTTTCATTTCTCATTTTCTCAAACAAAAACGAAACGTTTGACGATTCAACGTTTGATACTACTGCACATAATTATTCGGGTACATTAATAATAAATAAATGAAAATTTAATTAATAAATGAAATTGTAAAATGTCTAAACATTCCTACATCAAATTTAATATGGACGAATTTCCATTTTATTTGATGTACAATTTCCGGGGAAGGGGGGGGGGGTATTCCAGACTTGTTTGAAATGAAGATACTAAACATTTGACATATATTCCATTTACCTCACAGAACATTTCATGTACATGCATCTCTGTGTATACACGTCTTTAAAGTATAATAAATAAAAAATTCTATTCAAGCCGAATTTATACAGATATTACACAGCCACGACAGTAAGTAAACTGAATGTAGGTACATGTAAACTTATGTACAAGTATATGTGTGGACTACAAACCGGGCACATAGTCATAAGATCCTTAGAGAATGAGTTGTACTTAATACAAAACACTGGTATTTCTTTATTCATTTACATATATGAATGAACTAGATCTAGGAGGGTATTCATTAGACTATGAATATGTAACCATATGTATTTCTTCCCTTCCCTTTGTTGCAAAATAGAAAAAAATGGGAGGGGTGTCTTAAAAATTCAAAAGTTGACTATACCATTTATAGTCTAGTAATTGCGTGAAATTTTGAGTTTGTAATATATAATCAGGGGTTCATTTTTTTTTTTATCATGGTCAAGTCCAGGACTTAAAGAGTAAATTTTAGGCAAGTCCGAGGAAGAAATTTCTGAGTCCATATTTTCATGATAGATAAAATTATATTTACTTAAACCATCATTAAATTTATGTTATAATTTATTTTCATTTGTTGCATTGAATGAATAAAGACTATATGTATGAATATATGTTTTATTTTTTAATCGGTTCGATTCTCAGGTTTGTTGTTCCTCTAGTCAATGCATTTGACTTGTCCGCCGTAATCGGAAAACTTTGACAAAATGAACAAAACATCGTTTTCGTATCGTCATTGTAATCAAGCCACGGCCTATCATCACGCCAGTGGCTTTGGAATTCGCGAACTCTCTTCTTGTCATAGGTTCCGTCTTTGGAATTGTTATTTTGATCCCCAGCTTCATGTTCCTCACGGGGTCTTTTATTTCTCGTTCGGTTCCTTTACTGGTAAAACCAAAATTTAACAAACTCATGTCATATGGGAGGAAACATGAGAAATTGCGTAAAAGCAGGTGTCTAACCGCAACGGAACATAAAAAGACGGATTGTATTTTTGAGACGTTCGTAATGTTTTGTGGGTATATTAAAGCCAAAAAATCCACATTTTTATTCAATACATTTGAGAATTTGCTTTAATTTTAGTTTTACGAACTTTTTTCTTAACTTAAATAAAAGATAAACAAGAAACATTGCCAAGTCCCAGGACTTTTGGCGATTCTAAATGCCGAGTCCGGATCCGGAATTTGTTAGTCCGGGACGTCGGGCTTGAGGAATTTTGAACCCCTGTATAATGAAGTATTTAACATTTAAAAAGCAGAATTTTTATTTTCAGCTTGGAATTCTATATGAGTATTTGTAGATTTTACATGTAGGCATGATTTTCGTCTGGAGGACGCCGAGGAAGACGTAATTTTGGGAGAAGGGGGGAGGGGGGTGAAATTCAGAGAGGTCGCTCAAAATTAAAAATAGATAAAATACTTTTTCAAAATTAAAATCATTTACATATTAATAAAAAAGATATTTGCAAAATTATAAATTGGTCTTTGTCGTTAGTTCTTTTGTAAAGCGGAGCCAAGCCATGGAGAGATTATTTTTTCCCCAAAAATAAACTTTTACATTTTTTTTCTAGGGGAACTCTTTTTAAATACATGTATGTGAAGAAGGGTTCTCTGTTATACAAGGACAAGTGAATTTTATAGATACATGGACAAATGGAACTTTTACACGTGAGATAGTAGAATATTCCATTCTAATCGTAATTAATAATGTTACAAATATTGAACGTATATGTAGGTACATTTACATTCCATGTAACAGTTACATTTAAAAAAATTAAAACAACTCCAGTAAACGTAGTGATGGTAAAAGTTTTGTTAATGTTCACTGTAAAGGAAAAATGTAAAAAAGAAGAAAACATAACAGTTATCACTTCAACAGAGGTACTACTTACAACGTTTACTGATACTGTCATGAATCCTCCCGTCAGACACGGTACAGTGTGTGATGATGTCCAGCTGTAGTTTGTCTATGAAGAGGTCGTACATCTTCTCCGGATAGTCCGGTACATACAGACATCTCTCTCCCTCACTCCTCTTATAATCCCAGGACCTGCAGTATTCTGATATCACGTCACGTGACGCCGTGGTCAGGAAAAACTTCAGATCACTGTTCTCCACCATACACTCCGTAACAAAGGCGTACATGACGTCATGTCGGATATCGTCTGATATAAAGGTTATCACACCGTCACGAGTTTCTGTGATTCCATCAGGAAGATCTCCCAAGACGTCATCAGTAATATCAGTGAAATATCTGTCTCTGATTTTGTCCCTTATGATTCTGTGTGATTGTTCATTGAGATTCAGTTGATATTTCTCAGCTAACAGTAAGCAGTACAGTAGACATCTGACTTCTGGTGGGTAGTTATGGTATTTAGCTGCAAAGACAATAAATAAATACCTAAATATATACTGAAAAGCAAAAGAAACGCAACATCATATTTTAGGGGGAAATATTACATATAGGATATAATTTTGTATCTAAAAAGTAAGGACATCTTCAACTTTGTAAATATCGGTAATTTAACGGTTGAATGATTTTCATACCTTTACCGGAAGTTAAGCTTGAGTCTGCTTAACAGAAATCAAAAATTGCATGTTTAACAAAACATTTGGCAATAATATGGGGTTTTAAGGATTTGTATCTGTTCATCATAAGTAATGCAGCAATGTTCCGAAAAATAAATTCCCCTTTCTTTTCCGTAATCGATGCCAATGCTTCCTGAAAATGACTTAAGTAAGCAATTCCATTGCTCTAGCTGGAAAATCTCAAAATAAAGGTGATGAAGAGTTACAGATGCAAAAATGACCCACATCACGCCTCAACATCCTCTTACGTATCAGTAGCATGAATGACAGTCCTTGGACCGGAAGTCCAAGGGTTACTACACTGCGCCTGGCTAGAGGAAATTCGACCTCAACATCTGAAAAACAGGCATTTAAAAATGGCAAAGAATATTTCTTTCGCTCAGATCTCGAGATTGATGAACCTACTGCATCGTAGAAATCAAGCTGCAACTGTTGTGCATGGAAGTCTTGCACGCTGAAATTGAATGGCAGGGGTGGGGGGTGTTTTAACAGTCATGTGTTACTTTCTGAAGTTAAAAGATAATCATTTAACATTTTTATCTAATCTTTGATGTTTTAAAATCAAGTTTTACCTTAGTGTATTCATTTTTGAAAATCATTAGATAATAAATTCAAATATTTGTAGATTACTGCTTGTTGCGTTTCTTTTGCGTTTCAGTATATAAATAAATAAATAAAACAAATAAAGAAATATAAATTAAACGTTAAAATTCAGCCACTATTTTTAGTTTACTTCCTTATTAATGAATATACATTGTATACGTTGCATTGAAAACAGGCCCTCCTATAAATTAACTAGGTTGCTAATTCTGTCAAAACTGAGTTGACGGGATCAACGGAAGTGATGAAAACAGAAAACGACCATTACCCATTTCCTCCATGTAACGAAATATGCATGCAATAAATCTAAAGAGATACTCTTTTCAAGAATTGTTTGTTATGCTTGATAAAAAATACATAACTGGATTTCTAGATTTTACCCGGAATATCCACCCTACAATTTATATAATTAAAAAAATAATAAAATACATTAATAGCCGCGCTTTTAAATTCTATCGATATAATTTTAATACCTATGAAATACTTTTTTTTTTAAAATGTAGTAGGATTTATATCCCGTCTTGCATACATTGAGGAAAATATACACCAATATGCGAATTCAAATTAATTAAGGACAATTCAGTTAAAGTATTTAAATTATTCAGGAAAAATATAAAATTTAATAATTTAGAGCTATTTATGTTTCTTTATTTTGAGGAGAAAGTTGTATATGAAAACAATACGGAAACATGTCATATTAGTTTGAATTACATCTGGAAGAGTAACGAAAAAAAACAAAACATAATTACTTGTACTTTATGCATGACGTATTTTCTTTTCTTTTAGCATTCACATATATTTCAAAATTAATTTATTTATAAAAAGTAATAAATAAATAAACACAATTATCAGTCAATATTTAAGGACGTACAACACACCCACAACCAAACATTTCCTGTCGTTTAATTTTCGCTATTTTTGTATATATGTTACATTAAAGTTTTAGAATTCATAGAATTTAAAACTAACTATAACAATCTGGTTATATTATATGAATTTTAATTCATTGCAATTTGACATTTTAAATTTGCTTTAATTTTTATGAAAATAATTCCTTTTTTTCTTAATTTCAATTTTGTTTAATTTCATTAAGTTTTCTTAAAATAATTTCAATTTTTATTTTTCTGTATCACAAAAATATACACGCTTTCTGAAATCTATTAAATGTGGAATTTGAGCAATCTGTCACCTTTCGGAAATCAATTTACTCATAAACAATTATTTTATCTACTAAATAAACTGTAAAATTCTTTTTTATTTCGGCCTTTTTTGTTGGCAAATTCTTGGCGAGATCGGTTTGACACTTTGCTATGACACAGGTATTAAATTAATTGTACGATTTAGAATCTTGTTTATTTTGTTTCGGCTTCACCTAATCTTCCCATTGTTAAAAAAAAACTCAAAATGGAAATTTAGCTAATTGACTTCATCACCTTTCGGCTCTTTGATAATGTAAGTAATCAGTGTCAAGCCTATCAAAAGAAATTGCCGACTTACCTGTAGTAATTTTTGTAACAAGCTTCCTGATTGGTCAAGAGTTCAATTCCGATGTAGAGTCCGGATAGATTGTGAATTTAGCAAATTCACTTTCTATCTGCTGACTTTACAATAAACATCATTCAACTTTAATCGGAATTGTTTCTCTTTGCCAATTTAGGTAAGCTTGTGTTATTTTATTTGAAAGTTAAAGATTAGATTTAATTTCATTATAGTTATTTTTAATTAATGTTTTAATGATTTCCTATAAAGTATTCTTGATACGGAATTAGGATAAATTACTTTGTTCATTTGGCTTACACTTCATTTTTAAATATCTGAAATGTGTTATTAATTTCAAATTGCTGGTTTCATTTAATGTTCAAATAATGTTTAAAATTATATAATTACATTACTAGTAATCATTTCTTTGTTGAATTACTCACGAAATAGTGTTTTTGGAATTTTTCTATTTTTATAAATTTTTGGAAATTTAATTTTACCGCTTATGAATTATGTTCCCTGTTCGAAACTCTCTAGTCAGAGAAGGTAACTTAATTTTCCCGAAGTTTTGTAAACATTGTCTTTGGAGTTTAATGTTTGTAAGTTTTCTGATTTTATTGTCTACTTTTGATTTTTAACTTTTGTAACTGTAAAAACTTTGATAAGCGCTATGCATGACTGATTTCACGTAACCGATCGATCTTTATTTATTGTTTTAGTAATCGTACCTTCTCTTTGCGAGTTTCGCTACAGGTTGTTTCAAAAGTTATTTACTTATCTGACATTGTTTATTCGATAATTACTTGTACTGTTTATTATAACTTTTTTTGTGTAACAACTTTTATAAAATACACTTTCTATCTGCTGACTTTACAATAAACATCATTCAACTTTAATTGGAATTGTTTCTCTTTGCCAATTTAGCATTACAGTTGAAAAAGCGAGTAGCTATCCTACCAGGCTAATTTCCCCAAACTTCACAGACGAAAAAGTCACTGTGAAAAGTGGTGTGAGAAACCACAGATTCCGTGCCTCTCACTAGAACAACCAGATGCCTCTTCAAAAATACAGCTTAAGGTCAACATCCAGTCAGAATTCAGAGTCCTCAGACGACCTCATCAGTTTTACTGAACAAGAAGCATCAGCAGAAACTACAACATCAGAAACAACAAATACCCAGCATTCATCTGAAGCTACAATCACCGTAAGTTCGGAACAATCAAGTGCCCATACTTCAGGCGTAAATACACAAGCACCAGTGTCTGCTAATACTACTTCATCTACAAGTTCCCCAGTAACAACAACTGCTGTTCAAATGACTACGATAAGCACAAACACAGGAAATTATGAAGCCATCAACTGGAGAGATAACGTCTCGGCTAATCTCCCAAAGTATTCTGGAAGAAAGAGCAACATAAGTGCAAGTCAGTGGTGGACACTATTCATGCAGTGGTGTACCCTGCATGCCTTTACAGAGTAACAAATTGTGAACAGATTTGTATTTCATCTGAGTGACATTGCACAGCAATGGTACCTTGCTTTGCTGCCATCTGCCAAGAACAGTATTGTGAATTTGAAATCAGCATTCCTTGAGAGATTCGGCAAAAGTAAAAATTCCTTTGATTTGGATTTCCTGGACATAAAACAGCTTTTAGATGAAACATCAGAGGAATACATTTCGAGGGTGCAACAGATGGCCTGTGATGAAGAAATCTCACAACGCATGTTAGTCAATTTAATCGCCAAAGGATTTCGACAGGACATAGCATAAAAAGTGCTGGACAAAGATCCAGAATCTTTCGAGGATTTATTTCGCTGTGCAAAAAGAGCAGAGTCGACACTGAAAAGCGACAAAAATGTGATAGCCAGCATTGAAGGAATGGAAGAGCGCCTTCTTTCGAAGTTGACAGACCAATTGCAGTCAACAGTGATGGCTATCAGCTCGAATCTTCAGCCATCACCAAGCAGAGATGACCCTCCAGCCACTTATGCAAGAGGTGGATTCCGCCGAGGCAGTTCCAGGAATTTCCCGAGACAATCTGGCCATGGACAGTATCAGAACCGTCCCCAGGCTGTGGAATTTTCTGAGCAGTTTTATCCGCGCAGTGATGGACAATTTACAAATAACAATATCCGACCTGTGTATGACCGTAGTCACAATTATCAAGGAAAGCGTCCAAACTACCGACCCAAGATGCAAGCTCAGCAGAACCCCAGACCAGCGAGATTCCCTCCCACTGTACAACCCCAGTACCAAGGACAACCAGGCCCCCGTTAGTGCTTTCATTGTGGTCTTGATGATTGTTTTGACAAATATAATTGTATAGCATATAATCACTTTTGTAAAATTTGTTCTAAATTCAACCATTTTGAATCTGTATGTTTTCGAAATCCAGCAAGTCCATTTTTCGACCCTTCTTTTAAATTACAATAGGAATTCATGCCTATCCATAGCACGGATAGGCGCCTCGAAAATTCAAAATTGGCAGAAATCAATTTGGCAACAAATTTAGTTAGAAATACTGTTTCTGTTTTTATCAATGGTGTAAAAACAAATGCTTTAGTTGATACGGGTGCCTCTATAAATGTTGTTAGTGTTTCATTTTTAAGCAAAACATCTTTTCAAAACTCAGTGCTACAAAAACCAGATTATCACTTTGTCAATGGTGTAGGAGGTCATTTGAAAGTGCTAGGGAAATTGAAATTACCA